TTAAACCATAACAATTACTTCTCACTTATAGTATAAATAAAAAGGTCAGAGCGAGAAAAGGCGATTGACGCATATACATTTATGTACAGACACCTGTGAATGCCTTAAACACAATGCCTAGGTAACCATGTTTGTAATGTATATAAAAATCTGTGAAGAAAAACAAAAACCCACGAAATGTTGTGTGACTGGCCATATACTCCCATGCTGGATATTACTATGACCCCAATGAAAGATTCAAAAGTTATGTGACTAAGCCCTGAGAGTGGCGACAGTAGAAATACATATGCATAAACGGGCCTTAATCAAATAAAATTACAACTGATAAATTTGTCTTATCTGCAACACTTGGACTTAACCATGGGCGGTTAAAGGTCAGGTGCACAAAAGTCATGTGAACAATTTGATATGTGATGCATTGCGATTACTTGTGAACCACCCTCCCTCCCCCCCCTTTTTATCTTCTGTACCCCCACCCAATAAAAAAATTTCAATAAAATACGAATTCAAAAAAAAAAAAGACAGAAGTAAAAATAAGATAAAAAATGAATCATTGAGAGTGGTTAAGAAAAAAATTTAATGTTTTTCTAAATTTATTAGGGCAATATGATTTACTTGAGATCTGGAGGGTTCAAAATCCAAGAGAAAGATACTTTTCCTATTTTTCAAAAGTACACGGGTTGTATTCTAGAATTGACCTATTTCTGAAAAAAATACTCAAAGTTTAAAGAATTATTCTAAGCCGAAAATAGACATAATATTATGGTCAGACCATGCACCTGTTTTAGGCACCATGAAAAAAGAGCAAACTTTTTACGAATCCTCCTCATGGAGACTCAACGAGAGTCTATTAACAGAAGAGAATATAAAATGTTTAACGAACATTGCCAAAGATTTTTTTTTACTATAAATAATAATAAAGAAGTTTCAGAATCAACACTATGGTGTACTTTCAAATCATATATGCGTGGCTTTTTTATTAAAGCAGGAGCAGAAAAGAAAAAAAAAAAACAAGGAAAACAATGAAATGATTTGCATATTTTATTGGCACAAAAAGAAAGTAAAAAACAAAAAAAAAACCTCACATAAGCTTAGTGAAGATATTAAAAAAATTCAGATCGAAATCAAGAGAAAAATTGAGATTAAATCCCAGAATGCATTAACTAAATTAAAGCAATATTGGTATCATCAAGATAACAAAACAGGGAAATTCTTATCAAGTAAGTTAAAAACCATAAAATAAAAGAATAAATAAAATAACAGAAGGCAATAACATTCGCGTTTCCCCTAAAGAAATAGGTCAGGCTTTTGACAACTATTATGAATCTTTATATAATCTTCCTGACATCAAGTTAACAAGGGAGCAGATGAACTGTTTCCTTAATAAAATATCACTACCACGATTATCACAGACTAAGAGACTTTTTAAACAAACCAATAAAGCTTGAAGAAATAAAAACAACGATCCAAAATTTGCTGCAGTTGGGCAAAACATTTATAGAACAAATTTCTCCTGCCCTAGAAAATCTATTTAGAGAAGTTCAAGAGCAAAAAAAATTCCCTGAAGAAATGTTAAGAGCTACAATTTCTCCCATTCCAAAACCTAGAAAAGATTCCAATTTTGTTTCCAACTACCGTCCAATCTCTTTGATAAATACGGATATTAAAATCTTCTAAAAAATTTTGGCAGAGAGACTGAAGTGAGTGATCTGAGATATAATAAGTCGAGATCAAGTGGGATTTATTACTAACAAGTATGGAAGCGATAATATCAGGACTCTGATTAATATGATTTCTAACATTAACAACAACCATGTTCCATCTGCTTTTATTACTTTAGATGCTGAAAAAGCATTTGATTGAGTGAATTGGAACTTTTTATCACAGGTTTTGGACAGATTTGGAATGTTTGGTTCATTCAAAGACCTGGTCATGAGTCTATATACCTGTCCATCAGCTCAGATAGCAGGACATGGGGCAATATCAGATTGGTTTAAAATAAATAACAGGACCCATCAAGGCTGTCCACTTTCTCCTTTATTATATATCCTGTCTATTGAACCGCTAGCGCTACCTATTAGAGAGTCAAATAAAGTCTCTGGAATCCCCATGATAGTAAGGGAAAGTAAACTCCTTTTATATTCTGATGATATAATACTTAGTCTTAGTGATTTAAGAAGTTCAATTCCAGCTATTTTAGATATCATTAAAGAACTTGGGTTTTATTCGAATTATAAATTAAATCTTTATAAAACGTAGGTTATTTCTACCAATATTACAGATGAAACGAAGGAGTTCCTCCAGACAACATATAGTTTTTCCTGGAAGAAGGAAACAATCAATCACTTGTGCATTGAGTTATGTTTTGATGTGGGTAAAATAGTGCCCTTAAATTATAATAATCTCCTAAAAGAAATTAAGATTATTTTGGACTCATGGAGTAGGTTTAATGGTTATGAAGAAATAATGTTGTAAAAAGCTTACATAATGCCTAAAATAGAATATGTGATGAGAAATATTCCTACAAGAATTCCAGTTAAAATATTAGAACATTTTCATAACTTGATGTGGAATTATGTATGGGATAAAAAGAAGACAAATATGATAAGAAAATCAGATGAAGGTGGAATGTCTTTCCCTGATATCTTTCTTATTTTTAATTCTATAATGTTTTCCCATTATCGAGCATGGAACACAGTTGGTAAAAATCCACCATCATGGTATCTATATGAGAAATCATGTTGTAAAAACTTCAACTTAATGTGGATATACTGGCTGAAACCAAGTGTCTTCAAAATCTTAAATGTAGATAATAGAATTATCCACGAGTTATACTCATCAGTCAGAAGTATAAAAAATAAGTACGTAAGACAGCAAGAATACTTTACCTTTTTAAAGGAACACTATAGTCACCTAAATAAAGCATGTATAGATCATTCCCCTGCAATTTCACTGCTCAATTCACTGCCATTTAGGAGTTAAATCACTTTGTTTCTTTTTATGCAGCCAGGGCCACACCTCCCCTGGCTATGATTGACAGAGCCTGCATGAAAAAAAAAACTGGTTTAACTTTCAAACAGATGTAATTTAACTTAAATGATTGTATCTCAATATCTAAATTGAACTTTAATCACATACAGGAGGCTCTTGCAGGGTCTAGCAAGCTATTAACATAGCAGGGGATAAGAAAATCTTAATTAAACAGAACTTGCAATAAAGAAAGCCTAAATAGGGCTCTCCTTACAGGAAGTGTTTATGGAAGGCTGTGCAAGTCACATGCAGGGAGGTGTGACTAGGGTTCATAAACAAAGGGATTTAACTCCTAAATGGCAGAGGATTGAGCAGTGAGGCTGCATTAAGCTAAGTTGTTCAGGTGACTATAGTGTCCCTTTAACACCTATTAAAATCTTAGAAATATATATTCAAGATTTGAATTTAAAAGAATGGAAAGAACAAGGAATAAATCAGTTTGGAGATCTCATGGACAAAGGAAAGATAATGAGATTCTCCCAAATCCAGATAAAATACAGATTATCTTTCAAAGAATATTTTTCATATCTAAAAGTGACATCCTTTTTAAAAAAACAAGCTAATTGTTGAAGATTCAAACATAGATAAGCTACTGATATCTGTGGATAAAGAAAATATCATTTAAAAAATTTAAAAAATATTTTACTTTAGTAAAGATAATGGGAAACTATTAGGAATGATAAATTGGGAAAAGGATATTGAAAAAAACATACTCTTTAGATATCTGGTTTAGTTTTTTTAGATGGTTTAAAAAGACTACATTGTGTTAATATCTGGGAAATCCAGCTTAAAATGATTCATAGATGGTATCAAACTCCATATTTATTACATAAGTTTAAAAAAAGATAACCCAGAAATCTGTTGGAGATGTGAAATGGAGATAGGAACCCACATGCATATTTGGTGGTCTTGCAAAAAACTTGACTTAATTGAAAGTTGGATGAAGGAGTTAATAAAAGAAGTCCTAAATATCGAACCAAATATTGAGACAGAAATATTTAGTAGTCCTTTAAACAATAGAAATTAGCTAAACCTATAAGTTGACTAGACAGACTCTTCTTAGAAATGGAAAGCTGCTTGTTAATGTGTATATATGTGTGATTTGTATAAATATTAATTTGTAACCAATAACAATAAAAATTATATTTGATAAAATGAAAAGATGAATAATACTCAGAAAGATATCCTTCCTATTATTTACATATACTAACTACTGTAAAATTAATGATTGCAAAGAACAGGAAAACAAGTAATATTCCTAAACTGGAGACATTAATCTTACAAATAATCTGGAAATACAAAATGTTAAAGTACTGCCAAAAAATAGAAAAAACAAACAAAAAGATCATCTATAAATTTTGGCCCAAAAAAATTTAATCCCTCTAGAAGCATGTATAATTACAATCAGATAAGGTTAATAAAGATATTTCTATTTGTGACTCTCTCTCAAGGAATGGTTAGGTGACTTCATGTTTGTAAAAAAAGGGAATAAGTATAGAAGTTACTGTTAAGATAAAAGGTCACTTGCAATTATTATTTTGTGTGTATGTTTTTGTATATGAAAAAAATTCAGTAAAAACAAAAACAAAAAACAATGGGGGGGAGGGGCGGAGCCTGACCTCCTAGCAGTGTAGACGCAGAACTCCCGCCTAATGTGTGGATTTTGGGGGAATATCTGCAGCTCACAAGCCAAAACGCTTACCGGAGTGCACTACACCCCACTGGAGTCCATAGCGGCCGGGAGACTGGAACGCTGTGCTGCAGCCTACTAGAGTTGGAGCTGTGGAGAGGCGGCCGCTCTTCCCGAGACTGAACTCACCAAGCGACTCACCAAGCGACTCAGTTAGACTCCTACCCCCCCTTTGGACCGGTGGGTGGTTATCCTGGGTGCCCATCAGTGAACGACCGGGGGTAAAACGCTTACAGGTGCAAATCAACAGGATCTACAGGGCGACATGCTCCAAGCTAAGATGGCGGCTATATGGAGTCCTGACTGCGGGACCCACCAGCAAAAGTCTTTGACCTCTTCTGGGCACAACTGTGGGCCAAACTGGCACGAAACCAAGCTGTCACAGACATCCCTCAACTGCACCCTGCCCCACTTAACTCACAACTTAACCAAATTGCACCGCCAAGCTTCTGACCACGATGAAGCGAGGGAGGAGTGTGAGGAGGATATCCTGACTCACGAAACACAGACCCACCATCAGCCACCTCCTGACTAGGCCCTGGCAGAACCGGAGATCTGCATCATCTACCCCTAAGCATTTGACGCATTTGGGGGGTTCCCACTCAGCAAGGCCAATGGCGTGCACATGGTCGAGCCGGGAGGCCTGCTCCTCAGGCTGAATGCAGCCGGTATTATGCAGCCACGACACAGAAGAATGCCATTGCATGGAATGCCTCTGATTACTCCCCAACCTATGCCAATAGCCTGCTGACTTCTGGTATCGGGTGAATGGGGACACTTGCAACATGATGGCATATGGTGACTGATCTGATATTACGCCTAATGACACTGATTCTGCGTTAGTGGTTAAACTTTTTTATGATTTACTATCCCTTTTCTCTCCTCATATCCCTAAAATGCTCATAACACCTACTGACCCTTGCTTGATTATACGGTCCCAGTGGTAAATCCTTAATCATGTGAGCTTCACCATATCGTAAGAAATGGAATATACATTAAGAGTTACCTATTATCTTTTATGTTCATCTGTTATGCCTCGGATGAAGGAGCGTCAGGCAGGCTCGCAGACAGGCTTTCTAATTGTAATTCCTTAGCCGTTTAGCTCTTTCTGGGATCTAAGGCTTTGGTGTGGGACTTAATGCGAGGTATTCCGGCATTAAAGCACCGATGTAGGGTTTACACTCCCCTACCTAGGGTTTCCCTTGGACCATCGTCTATCTTCAAGTTTGTCTATTTGACCCTAGAGGCTATGCTTATATACCGGATGTTTGCCACCGTGTAAGGTGGGACAGCCTTCCTTTCAACCAGCCAGGTCTTGCGTGTTTGCATCATTGCACCACTGTCAATTCAGTTTAGAATCTGGGAACACGTTTTTTTTTTGGGAGGTTATCCTATGCAACATTGTATATAGTTACTGGCTATAACGATCATTAGCTGAGCTAGCTTCACCATTTTTTCACCTGATACAGTTTCAGCTCTAATATTGGTATCCTCTATCAGTGACTTATTAGCCTTAGAGCTGGCTACTGGGGTGTCTACTTAATGCTGTTATTATAGCTGTCATGCCAAAAGCATGAGTTGGTGTTGAGTTGTTTTTTTGTAAACCTTGCGATGACATTTATTGTGGTCTTTGATCTTGCACCAGGCCTAGACCATAAAACATCTAGATAGCCATCACCAGAGCTGGACACAAGGAATTGCATAGAGTGGGCAATAAACTGCCAGACCAACCCCCTCTGATCCCCCCCCCAGGGGTCTGCCCACTGAGTAACAACTAGTTTAGATATATAATGAGGGTGCTGGACTATCCGGGGAGCTCAGTTATTCATTTTTTCTTTGGTCAGCAACTTCTAGGAGACCTATACCATCTAAGACTCCCACAAGAATTCTATATGGGGTAAATATATGTAAGGAATTTCTTGTGTTTTCTCCTATTTTATTTTATGTACTGTTTTGCAATTTGTTATCTGTATGTCATTTATTTCTGTATTTTGTACTCAGCACTGTGAATCTTTTTTGTCAGATTAAATGTTTACTTAATCAGCTTGTGTCTCTGTTCTCTATGAGCTTCACTCTCCAGAGGAAAGCTCAGGTAAACACGTTACCAAAAAAGGTTAATTATATGTGTTTGATCAGTAAAAGTAGAACTGTGATTCTATAATTCTCCTGTGTGTGGGGTAACCAAAGACGCCCGGGTTTAAAAGTCTTGGTGGTGGCAGTAAAGTGTGTACTAGGGGGTTAGTGTAGAATGGATTGCAGGGGTTAATTGAGTGGTTGCTGGGACTAGCAACAGGGGTCTGGTGTCATTAACCCTGTCATTTCCACACTCTCTCCACTGTCTCGGCTGGGCCTGTAGCCCACGCTCGTGACAATAGCCTACTAGGGTCAACATAGAAGGTGACATTTTGGCACATACCCAGGGCCGACGCTACCTGTAAGGCGGACTAGGCAGCCGCCTAGGGCGCCCCTTGGGAAGGGGCGCAGCCAGGAGCACCGGCCCCCCATGCTGCAGCCACCCGAGCACTCTGTAGAGAGTCTCAGGCGGCTGCAGCTTTGCCCGGGCGGTGCGTCCATGTGGGTGGACCGCACCACCCGGGCGCAACCTGAGGAGAGGGGCTGACAGGAGGGAAGCGCTCAGCGCTCCCTCCTGTCGCTCCCTCAGTTGTAGCGTGGCCGAGCCCTGCAGCATGATGGTCCGACGGGTACAGGGAGCATCTGTCTCCTGTACCCGGCAGGACTAACAGGACTAACAGGAAGCACAGAGTGTGCACTTCCTGTTAGTCCGGCCGGGTACAGGAAACAAAAGCAACCTGTACCCGCGGACCATCATGCTGCAGGGCTTATAATGTAAACACGGCGGCACTGCAGCACTGGCGTTAGTTAACATGGCAGATCATATGGGTGGAGCATTGTGATGTCACATGGGGGGGGGCGGCAAACTTCACTTTTGCCTAGGGTGGCAAAAATCCTTGCACCGGCCCTGCACATACCATGGATATGCAAAAGTGTGATTAGCTTGAGACACCTCTTGTACTTACCGTAATCTATAAGTTACTGGAGACTAGAGCACGCACTGCTTATCTCTTCTGTGTAGAGCTACGGACCCTTGTTTAGGGCATGGCCTTATGGTGTAATTTTTGATATGCTGTAAGAGTAGTGATGTCCCGAACGGTTCGCCGAACGGTTCGCCGCGGACTCATCATTGAGTAAACTTTGACCCTGTACCTCACAGTCAGCAGACACATTCCAGCCAATCAGCAGCCGACCCTCCCTCCCAGACCCTCCCACCTCCTGGACAGTTCACTAAGAATGCAGCTTCACAATGAATGTAAAATGGATGCTGTCCAGGAGGTGGGAGGGTCTGGGAGGGAGGGTCTGCTGCTGATTGGCTGGAATGTGTCTGCTGACTGTGAGGTACAGGGTCAAAGTTTACTCAATGATGAGTCCGTTCGTGGCGAAACGTTCAGGGAACCGTTCGGGACATCACTATGTAAAAGCACTATCTGGGCTCCTATCTATCATAGGGTTGAATCACTATATGACTTATTAGCCTGTTTTTTTCTTTTTGTTGCACAAGCTTCACAATCACAAACACTTGTATTACAATTTTTATTATATAGTGATGAATAAAAGTTATGTTTTTAATTTAATATAAACATACGCAGTACTTCCAAAGTCCAGGGACTTCCAAACCTATGACCCTTGGGGATTTTATCTCTTGGGGTCGTTCCTTCTTTTGTTATCCGCCAAGCACATTATAATGCTCACCCACATTGCATTTGGCCTGTATAACCCAGAACCTATCGTTTACCTTACTCTGCATTGTGTATGTCTCACTCTTTTATTTTTAACTATCATTTTCTCGTACTCCTGTTTTACACGCATGTTTTACAACCCCTTTTCTCATAACAATTAACATGTCTGGGTAGCTCAAGTGTATTACTTAAATCGTTTTTTTCCATATATTTCAGACATGTTTGACAAGCTTGTGACATTGCTACTTAACTTAAACAAGTGTGCAGGAATCTTATATGCCTTGTACTTGTTAATACACTGAACAAAATTATAAACGCAACACTTTTGTTTTTGCTCCCATTTTTCATTAGCTGAACTCAAAGATCTAAGATTTTTTTCTATGTAAACAAAAGGCCTATTCTCAAATATTGTTCACAAATGTACCTAAATCTGTGTTAGTAAGCACATCTCCTTTGATAATCCATCCAGCTCACAGGTGTGGCATATCAAGATGCTGATTAGACGGCATGACTATTGCAGATGTGTGCCTTAGGCTGGCTACAATAAAAGGCCACACTATAATGTACAGTTTTATCATACAGCACAATGCCACAGATGTCGAAAGTTTTGAGGGAGCGTGCAATTGGCATGCTGACTGCTGGAATATCCACCAGAGCTGTTGCCCGTGAATTGAATGTTTATTTCTCTACCATTAGCCGTCTCGAAAGGCGTTTCAGAGAATTTGGCAGTACATCCAACCGGCCTCACAACCGCAGACCATTACCCACTATTTTTAATTCTCTTAAACCCTGGAATTCGTTTTATTAGAGGATTTTTATTTCACACATTAATCCCAAACTCATTATAAAAATATAATTTATTGTGACAATAATAATAATAATAATATGTAACATGCATGACAATAATCAGTGAATATTTAGGATTTAGTGAATATATAGCATTAGTATACAATATGGCAGTGATTTAACACAATTTATAAATAGCAAAATATAAAATGGTGGTGAGAGCACTCAAATCATGCAAATACAATATTTTACCAGAACTTTGTTTGTTGGAATATCTAAAAAAACATAAAACACAGAAACATAGTATAATACTGTTTAAAATATGTGCAAAATGTTGTATGTGACTGGTTAAACTCACATATTTCTGAGTCACTTTAAAAGCTGACTCAGACTTAGAGCTTGTATGGAGATGAGAAATCTCTATTCTGGACGTCCTGTATCACACCTTGTGGATCCGCACTGATAGTATCCTCTAAAATTACTCCAGGATGCAGAAATCGAATCCAAATTGATTTATTATTAAAATGCTTCACAAAATTAAAAATTAATAGTAAATACAGGTAAAATGTCCTTTGTGTATACCACAACGCGTTTCGGCACTCACAGCCTTTCTCAAGTGGTCTGTTTCTCATCTCTCTATTCGCTCCGTTATATCTTCAAATTTCAGCGCCCTTTCTCTGGCGTCCTGTATGTCTTCCGTTTTCGTCATCACTCTGCGACTTCCGGTTACGTTACGTGATGACGTTTCTGTTTACATCATCTTTCCTTAGCCGAGCGGCTACGTCATGACGTCTTCCTGGCGCCGGACCCGGAAGTACTAACGGCGCCATTTTAGAAAGTCTTTCAACATGAAAAATTTGCCAGTCTTTTATCCATTTACAAATACTTAATATATACATCTGTATACGAGGAAAACTCACATTAACAGACAGTTTATCAATAAAATGCATAAAATAGTCATAAAAAGAGGTATTATTGTCCTAAAAAGGGGAAA